TCCTCGTCCAAATCAAACTGCGGATCCGGGAATCTTTGGATTCCAGACCAAATTCCAACTGGCATCGAGGCTACATGACACAACTTGTCCTTTGCTGCTCTTGGCAGGAAGCTGGGAGACAAGAAAGGCAGAGCCGAGGCGCATCTCCAAATTACTCTTTGCCTCCTGTACCGCAGCATGCCATTGTCGGCGTTTGCATTCATCGGTGTCATGGTGGTTAGGCAGCTCAGCTGGTCTCCGATGTGCACTTCGCACTCGCATCCATCGGTCAGGGCAATCCGCAGGCACGACACTGAGAGAGCGGGAGTGGGAGGTATTGCTCGTCGGTTTATCTGCTTGGGCTCATGCGCCTGCGATTCTTGGTGCTGCTGCTATTTTTGACGGTCTCATCCAGCCTTCGCAGAAAATTGACAACAGAATTCCACGGGGCATGGATACATATGACACATGCTATCTTATTTGGTCAGGAGGCACTCCGCGCAGCACAGGAGGCAGTTCAGCTCTACCAGGAGCCCTGCAAGCCAGGCTAGCGGAGGCCTTAGTGGCCTTTAGTTCAGACAAAATAATCAATAAGGTAGTCCTAATTTCCGCAAACTCCCACATATGCGGGGGCGTGGGTTTGGGATCTTTCGCAGGAGCTCGGGGAAAAGACCCAGACAGCCATCAGCCTTCACATCTTGGCAAATGCCAACCTTATGACCAAAAACTTCGATGATGCCCTCAAGACGGCACAGGCCCGAATTGCGTGGAGAGCATCAGCGGACGCTTTTCAGGCTGCATGCTGCGCCAGGATTCCGAGACGGCTTTCAGAGCCCTTCGTGACACCGCTGGTGAGGCCTGGGCCGCCACAGATGGGGAAGGCGAGTCTTGCCGGCGCATGCAGCCTCCAGGCTGGCTCCATGATGCTCCAATCCGGAGCACACCTCGGCCGACAAGACTTCGAGGAGGCGAAGCGCTGCGCCAAGGCCGGGACAGGGAGAGACGGGGAGACGCGAAAGAACTCCCAAGTCAGAAGCCCGCAGAAGCAGAAGTATGAAGTGCAGGAGTCGAGAGACCTCTTCAAGTCGGCTGGCGACTTCCAGGTGAGGGGACTGACGAACTCTTCGGTCGGCAGTCTTCACCAGGGGTGTCCATAGCTTCGGTCAGGGCGAGGACTCCATTGAGGACTTCCTCGACCACGTAGAGGGCTATGAGAAAGGCACGGCGGGATCCACGAAAAAGGCAGACCCTGCTTTCTTGGACTGTTGCTTCCGGGAGGCCGGCAAAACCTTGATGACTTCCGGGGCTTTGCCATGCGCCGCACTGACCCCGCTGTGTCCAAGGGGGGGCCGGCGAAGCGTGAAAGGGCTCCCAGGCGAGCGGACTGGGTGAGAAACACCACTACCTCTAACATTCATGACACTCTGAGTTATTTTTTCGCAAGCAGGAAACCACGGCAAATCTCGAATATCTCAGACATCGAGCTGATTAAGATGGACTCCTCCAAGGAGGGAAAGGTGGGGGCCAGAATGCACCTTTGTCCTTGTCCCGGTGCTGCCTGCTCTCTTGCGATGGATGAGTGTTATCAGGTGACCTTAGCATTTTTCGACGCCTTCGAGAGCAGATCTGCAGGCAAGGACCCGTAGATTGCACAGCTTTCCAGGTCAGCTCCAACAGCATGGCACGCAACCCTAAGCTCCAAACCCCAAATCCTAAACCCGAAACCCTAAACCTTACACCAGTACCGACGGCCTGCAGGAGTCAAAGGAGCGGTGCATTACACTTCAAAAAAAAACCTTACACCCGAATCAACGGGAAAGAGCAGTCAGTGCAGGTGGCGGAAAGCCACCTCCGAAGGCCGAAGCCGCCGGCAAGGGCCCTGGCGGCCTGGCACTGGGAGCCCCCGAGAAGGCCTGGCCTTCTCGCCAGGTGCTTTGAGAGCTCCGTGAAACCATGCTTTATGTTCTATTACATTCTTTTCTATTCCATTTTATGTCATATTCTACTATGGTATTGTCTTTTCTCTTCTATTATATCAATTGTATCATACTCTACTATATTATATTCTTTTTCTGTCCTATCAAATCATAATCTCTTTTTTGTTTGAGCCCTGAGCCTCTCACTGGAGACCTGGTTTCTGCCAGGAGCCGGTTCTCTACAGTGTCCGGTGGGTGCAGGCCGCCGTCGCATGCAGAGCGTGGGGTGTGCTTTTGTCCCGAAAACCAGATTGTTACGGCATATAAGTAAAGATATAAATAAGTATAGAAATATATAAATATAGAACAAGCAAATCAATAAATATGTATACATACATACATACATACACACACACATATATATATATATATATATATATATATATATACATACATATATATATATATATATAGAACAAATAAATCAAAAAATGTATAGACATACATATATATATATATATATGTATATATATATATATGTATGTATATATGTATATATATATATATGTATATATATATATATATAAATTTTTCTATATATATAGAGAGAGAGATATAAATTCATTCGTACACGCTGATATATATATAATATATGTACATTTACAAATATGTATGTACATTTATAAATAAATAAATAAATATATATATATATATATATATATATATATATATACACACATACACACATAAATAGAGGGTGTAGTTTTTGTTCTGTTCAGGCCTCCGCTGGCAAGTCCGGCGCTTCCCCTGGGCCGAAGAAGGGCCGCCGAGAGTTCACCAAGGACGGTCGCCTGTGTTCGGGCTTCGTCGTGCTTCGTGCATCTTCGGGCAGCTTGTAGAGAGTTCTGGCGCATCGCGGGGTCTTGCATGGAACGGTGTTGTCGCATCTGCAACTCATGAGAAGCCCGTCCAAGCCAGGAAGAGGACAAGCGGCTTGTCAGCACCGCATCGCTCGGCGCACCGAAGGACATAGCTGAGCGGAGCATCGGTTGATTTTTAATTCTCAGTCAGGGCAGTGTGTTTGGGAGGACTCTTTTGGGCCCTACGGCCGGTCAGAGCGACTGGAAGCCGTCAGCGGCAAGCGAGGCCAGCCATTCGATTCTGGTGTGGCGGTATGCTTGCAGATTCAGGTGTCGGCCGCAAGCTTGTGATGTTTGTAGAAGTATTACTCCCTTTTGCAGTCTGCAGGCACTCTCCTGTGGCACACCACCGGTCAGTATCATAGGCTGAAGTCGCGATTTGTGCCGAAGGTGTCTGAGGCCCTTTTGTGCCTCAGTGGTTGTGTTTCAGAATGCTACGGACAAGGGCTGCAGATTCGTATGCGGCCTGGCAGCAATGACGGAAGATTCGATGCATTTGTATGGGCAAAAACCGTACACGGTTTGCGTGAACGGAATTGTTGTATTCTAGTTTCCTGTATTGTGTCGGTTCAGTACGATTGACAGGATCGATTGTCGGATGACTTGACTCATGTGCAATTTAACTTACCCTCAGAGTGTACATCATCAGACCAAGTAACTTACTAGCAAACCAGCCAAAATATCAAGAGGCATGAGTGCCATCAAGCAGTCTACAGTTGTCGTCGGCGCATCGCATCAGCACATAAGAATGACACGAAGCTGATCGTGCTACTTTGTCGGACACCTGAAGGCAGGAAATGAAGTAGCTGCCGAGCAGTGCGTTGAGAAAGACGGGTCGGCTGCAAGATTAGGGCTCTTTAGGCTGGCATGATAGTTGGAATCTTGACACTCAGCCGCCGCAAGATATGATACGGCTGCAATGGAACCAGGTCCGCACTCTTAAAGCATCGGATGCCATTGGGAGAACCGGTAATGGGAGAAGTCGGTTATCATGGTATAGGGAACACGACCATTCACTATGTGAGGTATGTGTGTATGCCACTGTATGAATATGAGGCGGATATCATGGTACAGCGAACACGACCATTCACTATGCGAGGTAGTGTGAATGGCAATGTATGAATCTAAATGCATGCATTTGTATGTATATGCATGTATGTATGTCTGTCTGTAAAAATGTATGTATGCATTGATATGTTGTACTTATGTACACGCATCCGTATGTAGGGATACATGTGCAAACGTGCATACATGCGCATGCGCACATGTGCGTACATGTGTATGTGTGGACGTGCGGGCGGACGGGTGCATGTTCGCAATATGTACATGTATGCGCACTCTATGTAAGTGCGTATAAGCTACACACAGTACTATATATATATATGTGTATATATATATGTATATTACACATGTGTATATATATATATATATGTACATATCTATGTATATTCTTTTTTACTTATTCATCCGTACATTGACATTTACGTACAAGTAAAGAAATAAATGCATAAACATATATGTATATTAATATATACACATACAAAACTAGGTATGTACCTTTACACATTCGTACATTGGCATGTGCAATCCGAACAGACACCGGTCATCTCGATGGTACGTATGACGTACGTACATGTACGTGATCCAGTTGACCGACTCTGGCAAGGGTTTCTGGGGCGTGGGGGGACTCAGATGAAGCACTCACCCAGGCTATGAGGCAGACAGCCGGAGACACATGCACATGCATATGTTCGATGTTTGTGGCTGTGTGTGGCTCATGGATGGACATCACTATGACAGCGGAATCTGTGGAATCTTGAAGTCAGCGCATATCGTGCGATTGCAAGAGCTCTTTTCTCCCGACATGCACGGAGTTTGTTGTGACCGAGGATTTCAATCTTTCCTAGACATCTTCCTGGACCAGATGCTGTTGATGGGCTTGCTTGTTGTAGATACAGAACCGGACCACCGGCTGCGGAGGTTTTCGTTGAATCCACTGAGGACGTGCCAAGTGCCAGGGCATCCAAAAAAAGCCGTCATGCGGAGAGCATGCCGCAGAGCTCGCGTCAAGACTTGGGTGTGAAGCTCGTTAATGTGCACCACTCCATCTGTAGACAAGTGACACTGTGGAATGGACTTCGAAGCAACCCAAATCGAGTGTCTTGACCTGTGTCGCTCTGGAGAGGCTGGCTCACCTTCAAACTCGCCGACGAGGCCATCAGCAAACAGCCCTACGCCGCAGCAGCAAACTTCCATCTCGTCAGGGCCGTCTCCCCCACCGCATTCTCGCCAAAGATGTACGCAGGCCGAAGCATTGGGCGTGTGGCTTTAAGACTGCAGAGCATGGGTTGTGCTGTGGCTCAGTGGACAGCAGTTGCTCGCTTCGCTCGAGTCCGGAAATTCAATCGAACCAATCCGTGTCCTCCTCCGTGAATGCGCCAGGAAGCAAGGCAGCTTCGCGCTGGTGGAGGTCGGGGATCTTCGGACTTCGGGGATCTACAGCTCCAGCATCCCCTCATAGACGTGCTGCCGAAGAGTCGCAGAAGGGTAGCCCGAGACAAGCCCGACTCCTGTGGCCGCAGTCTGATGACGGGCAGAGAGACCAGCATCCTGCCCGGACCTTGTGCTCTTGGTTGTTCTTGGGTCTTGGCTGTTTGGACATTTTTTGCCGCTTGGATCGCTGGATCTCTGAGGTTGCTGGGCTCCTTTGTCTTCACCGCCAGCCTTGGCATCACGGAGGGTCCCGAGGCTCTGAGACAATTGAGACTCGAGGCGTGTCTCCAGGCTCCGCCAGCTTGTGCAGCGCAGGTCGTCTTCTTTAAGGATTACTTCGGCTTCACTCAGAGTTCCGGCCTTACCGGATTCGAGGCCAAGGTCGGCGTTGCAGTTGTCATGCCAGAGCAGCCTCGCCTGACGTTGCACAGTGCAAGCTGCAGCCCGCCAATGCTCCAAGACTTCCCGGAAAGTGCGTCAAGCTTCGGATGAAGTGAAAGACCTGCGTGAAAGGTGATATGTCTGATCTTTTGCTTGTGACCAGTATCTCGGCACTGGCCGCGAGCTCAGTGCTAGCCTCTTGTGAATGCGGTGCTGTGGATGCTTCAGCAACTGGCCAGATTCGTTACATGGAGTCGAAAAGTTTCAATAAGTTGCATGCGACAGACATGGCAAGTTGTTTTTCGCTGTACTGTACGGTGCCCTTCCATGGCTTCACTTTACGTCATGCTACATGTCCAGTGCCATGATCCTAGCGCTCGCTGATTCGTGCTCGGAACAAAGCCTCAAGCAGAATATCGCCGCAGTCACTTCTGTTTGCAAAGGTCCTAACACCTCTGCTGCCGGCAACGTCCTCAGTCAGCTGACAGGGCCTACAAAGGCATTCCAGAGATACTCGTGTCGGCACTTGAAGTTGCAAAGCAGAAACACATACAAAGTATCAATTCAACCTGTCGTGACTCACTAGTATTCGCCACTCAGACGCTCCTCGGTTACCTGGGCGAGACGCGAGGCTGCATGCTAGGCACGAGGGTGCAAGGATGCGGAATCTCGATTTCTGCTGGGCTTAGGATGCATCAAATTGACATGTTCTTTTATCTCAGTGCACTGCAGCATAGGGTTTCGTGGAAAATCCGTGCAGGCTTCAGTTCTGCGAATGTTGCCAGTCGTTCAATTGAATTCAACCGGGTGGCACGTGTGGTCTACGAACAGCATTCATCAAGTGCCAGGCTGCATTGGAGTTGGGTTTACCACCCTCTTCCTGATCCTGGGAGTGGGCATCCGCTGGGTGCCGGCAGCCGCGGCAGGCTTGCCCATGCTGCGCTTTTCATACAGGGATTCAAGGCTTGATCCACTGGCTACGGTTGATTGTCAAGACGCTGCCGCGGGTCTGTTCAACACTCTGCTCAACATAATGTTGCCGCTCATACACCTTTCCTCATGGCCTGGTGCTCACAAGCACCAAGAAAACAACAGTTCCGTTCGAGGTTTAGGCGAGCATCCCAGAACATGGTCGAAAAATCAGAGCTCTTTCTTGCCGATGCGTGCTAAGTGGAGTTGTGCGACCTTTGATGCCCAAAATTTGAGCAGGGCAGGGACCGTCTTTTCTTAGGCAAGGGTCGGGGAGGGTGCGAATGCTTCGTGGAGTTTCCGGCTTAAAGAAGTCGACTTGAGATCTGCAAGTTCCGTACCGTAGTACCATGTCGACGTAAACACCCACAACAACGTTCAACACGCATCCCACCCCAAACACATGCTCGCCCTGGTTACAGGCGTGCCCTCCATCGGGTAGCACCTGGGATTCGACATCCATCCAACAACCAAACGCCTAACCGTTGCACCACTGCCCCTCGTCACACAAGAGACACGCTTACAGACATTGCAGCAGCACTGAACGGCACTGAATCGCCACGACACCTTTCCTCCAGACACATCTCTTTTCCGCGGTCTTTTCTACCCCTCCTCCCGTTACCATTCCACAAAAATGTTTTCCTGTTCCTGCACACCCCTGGCCCTCTTCGCATCTCTCTCGCTCATTTCCTCTTCTTCCAAGTTTACAAGTCCTCCCGGTTCTGCTAGGCAGAACCTATGCGATTTCTGCTAAATGCGGTGCTTTCCATGCTGCCTAGCTGGCCTGGCTTGAACTTCACTGGCTTTTAGGGAACAGGGTTTTTAGCAGCCGATAAGCTGCCCATCGAGTCTCGGCCAGGCTTTAGCAGCGTTGGGTTTGCTTTCATAACTCATCCACACTGCAGCAGGCCTGTCTGTCGGCTTCTTCGGGTCAATCTCTGGCCTGGGCTACATGGCGCTGGTGCACTGCCACGTGCAACCGGAGCGTCGTGGGAAGGGGGTTCGGTGAAGGATGCAGGGGATCTGAGGTCTTGATGTCACATCTGAATGGTCTGCATGGTATGCCTCAGAGCAACTCGCAGATGGCATCCCGAAGCTTTCCAATGCAGGATCGCCTGGGCATGTTCTTGGGCATCAAGTCCTTCGTAGATGGTGCTGCGGGAGCCGTGTCGCCAGTGCACCCAGCTGCTTCCCTTTGGGTCCTGGGAGATATCGGAGAGCTCTGTCTTGCGTGCATAAGTGAAACCAGACCGAGGCCTGCTGCCGGTGGGTTCATCTACACGCGGGGCCACTTCCTCCCCTACGGCCTCACGTGCGGTGCCCAATAGGCTCGCAATCGCAAGCCTGCAGTCACAACCCGAGTGCTCTCAGGTGTGGACTCTGTGTTGTAACCGCCGCCATCTTCGCGAGCCTCACCCCTTTCAAAGACAAGGCCTTGTGGCACACACCTCTGAGTTCCGTAGTCGGTGTAGTATCTGACAGTAGTTCGTCTTGGTTTCACACGATTCCGCTCACGTCTTCTCATAAGCATGTAGTCTCATCCGCTACAGATTTTCGCTTCATGTCCTATCTGTTTGGTATGGGGCTCTCGGTCCTCTTCCGTTGGCCCGGCCGTGCTAGTGGCTCCATTTGGGTTCGTTCTCGGGCGTGCAAACTTCGACGAAAGCCTTCGGACCTTGGGCCCCGGTATGCTGTCGGAGACTCTCTGCGCTGAGGGGCTCTGTGCTGCGATGCTAGGGCAAACAACTCACACGGGGCCTCTGACTTCGCTTCGGTTTGCGCCTTGGCATTTGCAGGTTGCTGCCGCTGGATAAGCTTGAGTGGCTCGGGAAGACAAGTTTGGTGTTTAGTTGCCATTGCCAGTGCCCGGCAGGGGAAGGACAAGGGGCTGACCTTCGAATCAGAGGCCTGTGGTCGTAGAAATTTCTGAACAGGAGCTGGTTCTCCCGCGATTTCTTTGAGACATTGTCACACTTTGTTTGACCTCGGAACTGTGCTGCCCAGTCCGAGCCTACATGTTGAGGATTGAGACTAGGCTTCCTAGGCACTCCATGTTCCTTTTCTTCTACTACTAGTCCTACTCCTACTGCTACTGCTATCGCTACCGATGCTGCTACCGCTACTGCCGAGATTCTCCTGCTCGCTTTCGTGGCTGTAGCTCCGGGCCCTGTGGCCCCTAGCACATTTTCTTGACTGGTATTTCTAGACAGCTCCTTGCCCATGGCTAGTGTTGTTTTGCTGTTTCGCATGTCCTGTACGAGGATGACGGCCATGTAAATCACAGAAACTGTGCACTGCCAGACGGTGCCGATGATTGGCAAGGACAAGGATATTGAGTCCGATGACGAGGCGCGCAGGAAGAGTATGGCTGGGCAAGCTGAACTTCACGATTCCCGTAGGATGGTCTTCCGATAGCACACTTCATGTCCGAGAATTTGCAGTTCAGCCAGGGCCTTACTGTGGGCACCACTGTTGAAAGGTTCGAAGGTCTCGAGCCATGCCGTTGGTTCATGCTGGACGATGTGCTGCCCTGAGGCAAGAACAGCTTGCTAAAGCTGATGACGAATGTGTCCGGGCTGCATTGGGGTGTGGGTAGCCGTGTAGCTGGCTGAGGGCTTCTTTTCTGCATTGCATGGTTGGGAACCAATTGCGTCGTGGTAGCCAAATGATACTTTCAGACGTTTGCTGGGTCGCGCCTTTCTGCACGGGATTTCAGGTTTTCGGAAGCGCTGTAAGCAAGATGGGCTTGAAACGGTGTCAGTGCATTGGAACGCTCCTGCTCATGAATTCCAGCCTGTCAGTCTGCGTACGCGGGTGTATTGAGCCACCAAGCTAGCATTGAGGAAATTGGCATCCTCATGCACGATGACCAGCTGAAGCCGTCGCCTCAGTGCTTCACAGGAAGCGGTCCAGTCGTATCTTGATTCCGACCGAATGTTCTCACGTGTGAAGCACACATCCGTCCGAATCTTCCACATGTAAGAGCCTGACGTTCATCGCTACAGCTTTGGCTGCAGGAGCTTGTTCTATGCGCAGAACGACCACGGAAGCAAGGGCTTTCGTCGATGTGCTACCATGCACGTCGACAACTTCGCAAAGGCCCGTATGAGCGGTATCTGCCGGTCTGCGTCGTTCTTCCTGCAAATTCTTCATGAGCAAGGGCACATCAGGGGCACCGAGGGATTCCACTGGCAGGCAGCAGCCGGCCAGGAGAGCGTCCGGAGGCTCCGCCAACTGCGTGGTGCCAAGACGACGGAGCTGCTGCCGCCAGACCCCACACCTCCGCCGTGGGCACAGCTTCTGCGGAGAGAGCCAGTAAGAGATTCAGAATGCACGTGCCGGCTAAGCTCTTTGCAAGCCGACATCGTTGTCTGCAAGATCCAGTAGGTGCTGTAGTGCGCTCACTACATGACGGTCGTTGCCGACCCGGCTCACAGCACTTGACGATGTGAAGGGGTGTCACGGGCTCGATATAATGGGAGGCTGACGAGACAGGACTACCCTGGCAGATCAATGCTTCGTGACATCCAGACTAGTGTTGCTGGTTCTGCATAGCCAGAAGCAAATACCAGAACGACATTTGTGGTATCCCTGTAGCTGCTGTTGCTTTGGCGCTGCTTGGCTCCTGTCGGGTGAGCTGTCTCCATAGTTTCCATCATGGTGTCGGCATTGACGCTCACCTCCGAGGCTCGGGACAGATGCGGAAGTACGGAAGTATCATCTTAGTATTTTGCACTTGAAAGGTTGCAGATGCAAGGGTCATGCGCTTGGGGTCCAGGACGGTAACCTGACCGTCCTGGACTTGCTCCAAAAAGCCGCTCCGGAAGCAACCGTGAGTCTTGCAACTGGTCCCTTCGCCACATCTTATGAAGAGCTGCACAACATGAGGCAGCGGACGTCCACACTGCAGAGCTTACCGCGGTCAGGCAACTCCTGGAAGAGGCAGACCTGCAGAACAGACTTGCAGAAGTGCTGCTTTTCGTGCTGTCTGCTTCTTGCCGCGGCAGCAGAGTTTGGTTTCAGAACGGGAGGGCTCTAGGAAGAGCTGGTTGTCAGGGTGACGGTTCCCTGTATGAGAGATGGCTCGGATGCGTGTGCTGACGGAGAGGTCTTAGATCCTCTTGCCCAAACATGGGGATGAGACTTTACCCTGCAAAGCATGCTTGTCGGTGTTTTGAGATGCCTCCGACATGCTATAGGCGAGCTCGTCCCTTGACTCTTTTTCAAACTCAAGTCCCAAGCCTTTGGCCGCACACGCACTGTGGACATCGCGAAAGCTGACGATTAATCGAGCAACCAAAGTGCATGGCAACTCCGAGCCTGCCGTTCTCTGCTCTTCGACTAGTCCACGGCATGCTTTGCATCAGGCATCCGAAGCGCTTCGTCGTGAGCAGGAACGGTCCAAGCGATGTACCTTGGAAGAATGATCGCTAAACGATGAAGGCTGTTTGGTTTGCAGAAATTACAAGCTTGACCGATTTAGACTTGATCTGTGCTTGCCCCCAAGTTATTCAACGGCAAGACTCGGCATCGCTGGTGCCGCCTACACCTGCCTCGCGGCCACCGAAACTCGAAGTCACAGGCGGGGGTGTCTCAGAGCTGTGAGCGCTAGCGGAAGGTCCTGAAGCACCATTGTTGGGGCAGAAGTCGCATTTCCATTGTGCATAGTCCGGCATACGACTCCATTTTGGAGTCGAGGTACTACCAGCACGGACATTCATGGGGCCTTTCCTGAGGGTACCTCCATTTATGGGGCACTTCTTGCACGGACTGGATCGTTCTGCCAAGCATGGTGACTCCTGGCCAAGGCGATGATGTGCAGCTGCAGAAGAAGCTTCCCGGCTCCGTCGACGCTTCGGAAGGACTGGAGCTGCCGATGAAAATGCATTCCTGGATTAGGACATCAGATGCACGGAACTTCCAGCAAGGTCTCAGCCAAAAAGGCATTGCATGACCACATCTGTAGAGGTCTGGTGCCCGAAGCAGCCACCAGCGCAAAGGGCTCCTTCCGCAGCGCTAACTTCCAGGGTGTGCTGCCGGGCGATGTGCCTTGCCTGCTTGGGGGACTTCTGCACTTACCGATGTTGGGCTATTGACAGGTGAGAATGAACCACGAGACTGTGTAGCCTAAGGTTCGGGTAAGCCAGGTGTATGGCGTGTCTCTCATCTTCAAGGGAACGTGTGCATAATTTCCGCCAGGGGAAGGTAGCTTGCAGATGCACCATGTCAGATGCAGATCTCAGACATTGTGAGAGCTGCCAACTTCAGCCCAGTGGTCTTGGTATCTTGTCATATGCGGTCCATTGCAGCCAAAAGGTTTTTACTTGTGACAACAAAACGGAAGCGAAATCCAACAAGCATCGTACGATAGAAGCATTGCTGTCCCGATCCTAACGAAACCCTCAGAGCAGCAGAGCCCTTAAGGGACCCACTTTGACAATTTGAGACGCCTTGAACCGAGGAACCTTCCGGGTCCCGCCGCCATTCCAGACTATCCGAGCTCCCGGGATCGACGCTGGGCGATGTCTCAATCCAGGATGTATAGTATAGTAATAGTAGTAATAGTATAGTAATAGTAGTAATAGTAGCAATAGTAGTAATAGTAGTAATAGTAGTAACAGTAGTAATAGTAGTAATAGTAGTAATAGTAGTTAAACCGGTCTGGGGAAAGTGAAATCAAAGGGTCGTGTCAAGAAAGACATGGCTGTTCGCTTAGACTGCAAGTTTAGTTTTGCTGCCCTCTTCTTGCTCGCATCCTTTGTCGGCAAGGTTCAGATGTTGCGCAGTTGCGTTTGTTTAGCGCAGGCTCTACTGATGTTTTCGCAGATGACTCATGCTGACATATTAGCCGACTTGACGTTTTGACCAACCAGCTAGGAATGACACAGATGCTTGCGTAAGAGCTTAACATCATCGAGCCTGGGCCCTTGCCGATTTTTCGGCGAGGGGTGGGAAAAGGCCTTGATATGAATGCCGGTGCCAGAATTATTGGATCCCAATGGGGACAGCAGACAACAGTAGGGTGCTGTTGTCTAGTCCAAGGGCGGAGGGCTGGTCGTGAACCTTTTGCCAGGCAGGCATGTTGCAATCCTAAGTAATCGACAACTTGGACTGAAAAGGACCAGGTAACCTTTGTGACGAGTCAGGTTTCTAGCCTTGGTTACGGCATCACTTCAGGCCTCCGCCGGACGTAAAACTGGCAGCTGCATGGAGAAGGCATGTGCTCTGGGAGAAGATTGAGGCATTCAGGATTCGGGTGTTTGTGTTCATGCATGCACTGCGGCCAGTACAGTGTAGAGTGTGTAGTAGAGTCTAGGGGACTTGAACTGCATGTGGGAAAGCGAAACCTCGAGGATTATCACTCTCTCATGAAGGGCACACACTTCATCTAAGTGGTCGCCAGCCTTGGCTGGTGTCGACAGTGCTGTAATGCAGGAAGGCAGCCACCACCACATCGAAGATTACAAGGAGAGGGACTTGTGGAGCTAGTGTTGGTCCATCAGCAGGATCTGTCGACACGTGGCCACATCGTCTCATGCGTCGGCTGTATTCAGGACGAATACTGTTGTGCAGTGTTTCTCACGAAAGCAGTAGTACAGGAGTTGGGACCTCCTTGTTGATTCCACGTGCGTTGTTCGCATGAACATCGACAAGAGCTTAAACACAACCTGGTTCCGAGTTCTGTGTTGCGGGGGAAAGCGCTTCATTTGCTTACGACATCATTCATACGAATGTTTCTGATTCACGCATGGCACTGAGCCATCCTGCTCAAGGCCCTGTTCGCAGTTCCAGCGACACACACCCACACACATGCTCGTGGTGTTGCGTGTTGTGCGACACATGCAACATGTCAACGCCCTTCGTATGCTTTTAGCCGAAGGGTTCATGTGTGCGGTGCTTCACGTTTGAGTGTCAACAGCAGGACTGTCACCAACGGTGCTCCGGGCGATCATGGCCTGGAGGAGCTACGTGGAAAGTCGTGGAAACCTCGAGCCATGTAGTGGTCGTGGGTGGCAAATGCCGCAGAGCCTTCGAGGATGACTCCGACCAGAGCTTTCTGCTGCACTTGTCGAACAAGCAGAGAGCTCGGAGAGCGGAGCGAGCTATTGGAACGGCACGACGCTTCAAGAGTCTTCCTTGAGGTTGGTGCTGGATCCCAGTTCCCCGAAGCGCTTGGCCTTCGAGGCACACCCAGATGTTGCAAAACCGGTTCATCGCAGAAATCTTCGTTCGGACATGTTGGGTGAAGCTCCACATCCCCATGGCCATGTATTTAGGTTCTGGGACTGTTCCTCATCATCTACGATCTCTTCTGGCTTCCCATGCAGGCACGTGGCCTCCTTGCTATAGATGGCGTACGGAACAGTCAGTTGAGGAGTCACTGTGCACGAGATACAGAAGCGCTGACGGCTTCCAGTATCGCATGGGGCCGTGTGCTTTTTTAACAGGTGTTCGATCCCCCCGGGAACGCCTTCACAGAGGCCGGAAATGAAAGACGGGTGGAGAAATGCGAGATGTACCTTTGCAGAATGGCCGACGGTACTTGGTCCATGTGTGGGAAAATAACTTTCGAGGTAGGTCGTGGACATGGCATGCTCAGTACAGTACTGGTTTGTTTCAGCAGAGCCCTGAATGCTGAATATTACTGGCAGGCGATGGGTTGGTGCTCCAGCATCTACTGGGCTCTGGATATTCCGATGTCCTTCCTGGTCGGCTGCTTGCCTTGCAAATGCTTATATCACATTTTCGGTTTTCGTTCTATTTACAGCAGAGGACCTCCACTCTCTTCTCACCGGGGCATTGCGCGATGCAGTTCTTGCAACAGCACAAACATGCTTCTTGCATGTCCTAAGCCAGGTAGAAAGCTGGGAGCCAGAAAAGCTGAAGGCAAGCAGGAAGGAAGGGAGGGTGGACGGAGGTGAGGAAGGAAGGGAGGAAGGAAAGGAAGGAGGCAGGAGGGTAGAAAGGAGGAAAGCAGAACAAAGGAGGCAGGAGTGAAGACTCAGCGTGGAAGTGAGATGGAGAGAACAGCGTCAACCCTCCAGATCCCAACATCAGCGTGCATAACGCAAAAGGCAGCTAGTCTTGTCTTGGAGCATGTCAGGGTTTCGAAGCTGTTCTTCATCGGTGCATGAGTTCTCACCAACTTCTTTTAGTTTGTAGTTTTATTTTTGGGCTTTGCCTCTCACCCAGGCCAGATCCTCCAGACAAAGGGCATCATTGAGATGCGGGTGAGAGCTATCGCAGGCATCCAGCTGTTTCAATACATGTAGTAGGGTTTAGG